AGCTTTAAAAAGCAAGTCTATTAGCAATCGGTATAACTTGCATAACCACCTGGTTGTGAAAAATTCGCATATATGAACATTTAAAAAAGGCTCCTGTCCTTGTTTTTGGCAAACTTTTATTTACAGTCATTTTGGGTTTGGTATCCAAACTTTTAGTTAAAATCTGCTATATAACATATATGAGCCCAGTTCGATTTTTAAATGTTTTTATAGATAGTTTGCCCGGCAAGGTAACATACGCCCACTACCAGCTGTCAGAAATGATAACAAAATCTTTAGTGGCTTAATAATAAATTTTCAAATAATCTTAGAATCACCTATAAGTCAAGACAAAAACCTGAAACAGTTCATCAAATTATCATCATATCAAAACATGAACAATGTCTCATCGCTGTATAGACAAGGGTAATAACTCTGAAACTGTTCATCATTCGAATATTACCAATTTATAACTGAAACCTCATAAATATATATATGAATATCTATTTTCATCAAGGTCAAATAAAAACTGTAGTCCTTATCGTGCCTAAAAGCCAAATTTGACACTTTTGGCAAAGGCAATAACTCTGAAACCCTTCATCCGATTATTACCAATTCCGAACTTGACCGAGATCTCATCAATATATAGATGCATACCAAGTTTCATCAAGATCGGATACAAACTGTAGTCTCTATCGTGCCTACAAGTCAAATTTGGCGCGTTTTACTAAGTCAAGGGCAATAACTCTGAAACAGTTCTTCCGATTATTACCAATTTCGATCAAAAGAATCCATGGAGAATTGAAGCCTGTAGAGTGAGCACGAGGTAAATGTGAACGGACGGACCGACAGGGCAACTACAATATACGCCCATAGTTATGTGTGGGCGTATAAAAATGGGAGATGAAGATATGACTATGAATGGAACATAGATACTTGTTTTGTTTGTTGAGTGTTACACTTTGCGAAGTCTTTATCGGTGGCATTTATAGATCGAGAACAATGGCTGGGAAGTCAATACTTCCAACTTTTGATATAGTTCTAAACATTTATAGAGTCAATCAAATTTGATATCAAGTAGGACTGTTCAGTTCTTCCAAAATTTATCAGCTGGTCCCAGGAACCAAGAAATTCACCAAGAACAAGATAGCCTTTATTGTGACCATGTCATTATTGTCAACCAATTTTTATACGCCACCCATGTCCGTCCGTCGGTCGGTCCGTCCACAATTGCTCGTATTGAGCCTGAGTTATTGCCCTTGTTCTTGAAAACGTGTTCAATTTTTAGCTAGTGAAAACTCTAGAAGGCAAATATTCAATATTCAGCGCAGGACTGAATAATAAAACCAAGATTTGTCAAAATCCAGCAAGAATCATGCCTTTTAGCTAAATTTGAAAGCGTTTTCAAGAACAAGGGCAATAACTCATACTAAATATTTTTCAATTCTTCTGATTTTCAATAAGATTCATCCTTGGGTGATTATGAACATTCACACCAGGTTTCATCAAAATCCGTCAAGAATTGTGTCTTCTAGAGTGATTACGAGCTAAATATTGAACGTGTTTTCAAGAGCAAGGGCAATAACTCATACTAATTATTTTACGATTTTTCTGATTTTCAATAGGGTTCATCCTTGGGTGATTATGAACACTCATACAAAGTTTTGTCAAAATCCGTCTAGAATTGTGTCTTGTAGAGTGTTTACGAGCAATTGTGGATGGACGGACATGGGTGACGGAAATATACGCCCCACATTTCATGTTGGCGTATAAAAAGTGTATATAATTATTCATGTAGGCCTAATGTGTTCCAAGTGAAATATTATCCTGTGAATGTAATCTAAAATAAATTAATTGTGTAATGAAGTGAAATAAATTTTGACACCCCTTAGCAAATTGAACCTATACACATAGATTAATCAGCTATCTGAACAACCTTAATTCCTATCAAACAAACTCAATATATATATTCAGGTATTGATGTTGATAAAAGAGTTTAATTCCAATAATCCAGATGTCAGCTTTAAATATTTTATTTACATGTACATTGTATTGATTTGTGTACAAGTTACATACAATTTGTGTAATTTACAGACAATTAGAAATTTTTATATATATATTTGTACAAGAAAAACATACTGATACTAAAGCAAAAGAAAAATATATTGTTGATCAGTAAAGTTGGCTTTTAATTTTGTCGGGAAAACTTGGTATTGAAGGGCAAAATTTTTTTCTATTAATTAAAAATTAATTATTGCACATTGTAACATTTCATTGTGAGAATAGATTGCAACAAATATCTTATTGTAGTTTCTTATAAAAGCAAAGGGAGCACTACAACAATTTCTACACAGCAGAAAAAAATATCACTTCGATGCCTCAAGAATGATATGTTAAGGTTTAATCTGGTCCATATAATATTTCAAAAATCTACACATTAATAAGAAATACAAGATATTCATAGTTATTCAAATACAATAGTCTTCAAATAGATTGACAAATACTTAATTCTACATGACCATATGAAACAACAGGGTGTATCAGAAGGATTAATAATTAACCATCAAATAATTGAATGAAGTGTGAAAATATAGACATTTTTCATAGTCCAGAGATAGAATATCTCAATTTAATAAAGATTGAGAATTTTTGTCTTTAAAAATACCAAAACCAACAAAGAATGTTCAATTCTTGTCTTAAAAAAATGATTAACAATACTTAAAATTGATATTGTTCAACACAACAAACAGCTAATAAAGGCATGGAAATTATGCTTGAGCATTTCATGTGTTTTCATTGCAACATCATAGATAAGAATATGATAACCATTTCAATTTTCTTCTAAACTCAGAATCTGTAACAACTTAACAATATAGTTATTTTGTGATTAAACATTCCAAATCTTTACATACTTCTGGAATTAATTTTAAATATTTTCTACAAAATATATAATTTTCAAATTATTATTATTATTATTATTATTATATATTTTATACAAATCCTTTAAACTGACTGAAGCAGTGTACAATATGAATTAAGAAAACATGAAATTCTTTAACAGGCCTTCTTCTTCAACATACATACTCAAAAAAACATACATACATACAGACTTGTACAGTGGCAATATGTGCCAAAAATCAGGGTATATTTTGAAATATATTGAAGGGTTAGAAAAAGGCAAAATAACGATGTATTTTTTTTCTAAATTTGATTTTAGTGTATAATAAGTTCAGAAAACATTGACTTCATTTTATGGCATAATTGAAAAAAAACAATGATCACACAGCCCTTAGAATTTTGAAAAATGGTAAAAGGGTTTTATCACTATTCCAATTTTTAAAGACTTTTTTAGAATAAACTAAATTTTGATATTATATAACAAAGAAAATAAAATAAAGGATAAAATTTAAAATGTACTTTCTTTCATACAAAACACTCACATCCAAAAACAATCTTTCACACTTAAATAATATTAGTCATAACACACTTTAAATATCAACACACACTTTAATATTCTATAAATATTCGCACACTTCCATATACAGATATAGAGAAAACAAAGCAAGGCAGAGTGCAAGAGGGAAAAATTATAATTGATTCAAGTTGAAGAATAATGCAATAATTCAAGAAAATATAGCAATTATAATTTTTTCCTGTAAATAGACAAAAAGCACGATTAGAGTGAATTAAGTCTCTTCACTAATAATTTATACAATTATATAGATAGGATATAAATACACATAATGCACATACACAGAAACACATTTTCACTTTATAAAAAAATATATATACATACAATAGTATACTGTTACAATATATACAATTCTAAATAATAATTGGTGAATATTTCTATAACTTTCAATTTCTTCATACACACTGACTGAATTATCTACTTAAAATTTTCTTTCAAATTAAGGTGAATTTGGTTTTTTTGTTGTTTAGAAAGTAAGGACACACCAACAAAATGTATGAATGTTATAACTTAAGAACATACCTTAATCCTTTATCTTAGATTCTTAGACAGATTAAAATGAAAAACCTTGAAATATAATTGTCAACCAAACACTTGAGCACAGATCGTCTAGTGAGGCCTTAAAATTAGGGTTAATTGCACATTGGTAAAGTTTATTTGGAATACAAATTTTGATAAATAAACAATAATATGATATGGTACAATGTTAATATAAATAGGATTTCTTTTAGATATTTAAGCACAACACTATTAGTACCTCTATATAATGTTAGTTATTGTTTTTCATTCAAAATTTGTATAATAATGATGTCAAATTGTTAATGATTTTAAGGTACAAATAATGTCTGTACATTTATGTAGTAATATCCATCATTACTATACATACATAATATAGTCTGTCAATGTACATAAGTAATATAATATCTGTACATAAGTAATATCTATCTGAAATGTGTAGAACAAAATAGGAATGCATTTTTTATGTATACTTATGAGACAAAGTAGGTACCTTTATCATCTTAATGATGGTATTGGCACAAATACACATGACAACAATATTTAAATATCTTCACCATTTTAAACATCACAGATTCATGGAGCAATTTTATTGGTCTTTTGAAAAAAAGCACACAAATTGGTCAACATTTATATACAAAAAGTATATTTAATCACAAAACTTTCTAGGTCAATGTTATTGGCAAGTGATGCAATAAGGTGGCACAGGATGACATCTCAACTTGGCATTAAGAATCAGGCAAATTTCCTTTACAATGTAACATTAATCTCTGGTGGGTTGCAGCTAGATATCAACTGATTCAGCAGTCAGAAAGAATTCATCATCAACAACATAAATCAACAGAGCAATTCACATCACAAAACTCAAATGGTCAAATCCTGACTCTTCTATAGTTGAAATAGTTATCACATAGCAATTAACCTATCTACTCAGCTCCCAAAATATTTCACAGATTCACTCAATGACTTGTATTTTGATATTTGAACAGGTTTCTGATTATGGAATACACTTAATAAAAAGTCTGTTTATTTACTATGAACAACATGATACAGATAATAAAACTGTAAATGTCACTAATAAAACACTAAAACTATTGGCAACACCACTGCCATTGCCATTGTCACTTATTAAGCCTACATTTTTAGGTCCATTCGCATGAATAATTTTATTATCAACTATATTATTTTTTTCTGGTGGAGTTTTGTTCGGATCTGTTTTAGGTTCATCTGTAATTATAAAAATGATATAATATAATACAATATAATATTAGCTTCTCATGTCTTGAGAACTTTTTTTCCAAATTGACTAATGTCAATAACCAGTTAAAAGTCATGAAATAATTAGAAAAATATTTTGTACCTGTATATCCATAATATATTATAATGTGTAAATCCAAAAAAAGGAATTCCAAAAGATATGCGATTGATAATGGAATCAAAAAAAAAAAATACCAAGATACAAATAATTCAAACTACTGAAAATGGGCATCCACATTTCATCAAATTTTCATCATTATCTTTTCAATTAACTGCTCCATAAAAATTTTGGTTTGAACCTATATCTGATTTTGAAGTCATTAGAAATAGTTTGTGAAGAAACATTCATCCATAGAGTCTTTCCACTCTACTTTGAGTCATGCATGAAAAAGGAAGGAATTAAAACTGCATTTTGTTAAAATTGGGGAAAACCGTACATATTTCAATAGTTGTTTTAACTTGCTTACCGGTACTTGGAGTTTTTCCATTAGTTGTAGTGTGTCTGGTTGTTGTACTTGGTGTAACTGTGGTTGGTGTTTTGTTATTTGTGGCTGGTTTTGATGTTCCTAAAATATAAATACCTTTATAATTATTTTATTCCATTATTATAATTAAGTATCTAATGTTTAAGAAAATGAATGAAAAATAACTGAGAACTTTCCACAGATCAATCTAATTCTACTATAAAATGCAATTAAACTGTAAAATGGAAGAAGTTTAATCTATGGGAAGGGAATTATAAAATATATTAGCATGCAGTGCTACATCTACTTCAATTGACTGATCGTCAAGTTACCTGAATCACCCGACCCATGACTGGGCGATCCCGTCCTTCCATCCTGAGCGTTGGACCCCTGGTTATTTGACCCTGTATTCTGGTTTTCAGTACCTGTATCATTAGCTTCACAACACACATTCAGTCTGATTTTCATATGCTGATGATAACAAGCACCTTGGAATTGATTTTTAATAGATTTTAAGCCACCTCCGGATGTTGCTGCAATTAAAAAAATTAAAAACAATTTAGAAATCAGTGTAGAAATGATTAAATATATTTCAGGTAAAAATACTCTGAAACAGTTATCATCTCATGTTTTATAATGTTTTAAACACATGATTGGGCTACAGAGATAAGTCCTGTATGGTTATCACAGCCAGCAAATGGTTTATTTGTACCAACTAATGTGTAAATTTGTAATAATTGTTGACAAATCAAGTGTTTGTCAAGTTTATCAGAGTCTGTAATCTTATTGTAGTGAGAAAAACCATTAACACCTAATTGATAAAGATTACATCACTCTGAGAGTATATTTAAGCGGTCATCTAAGCATAAAAAGCTTTTGTTACAATAACAAATAATGTTTTCTCTTTCAATCTAATTTCAAACACATTATTACAATGCTATACAAATAAATTCATAGATGGTTGCTATAGCAACTATAGCTTCTAACCGATAACCTAAAGGAATAGTTTTGAAGAATTAAGTAAAGAGGTATATGTAGAACAGGTAGATAATATATTTACAAGTTTAAACTATGTTTTTGCAGAACATTCTAATCTTTAATAAAGTCTTCCAAAACATGATAAAAATAATCAATGACTTCTATATAATTTTTTTATTATGAAAAAATACTCACATATAATATAATAGCTTTTTCCTCTTTTAAAGTCAGGATTACCAGGAATGGATTGAAAGTTGTTTATAATAAAAGTATAAAAATCAGCTGGATTTTTAGTTGGATCTGTACAATTTACTAAAAACATCACTGATCTAGGACTATAAATTGTACATTCATCATATTGTGTTTTATTTACCTAGAACAGAAATATCACATATTATGCAAAATGAAACTAAAGGAATTTAGTGGATTTCAATGACTGCTAAGAAATGGCAACATCATGAAGAAATTGATCAATATCTGGATGCATTGACTACTGAAAAGTTACAGTACAGTTGCTGTAAATCATCTGTCAACATGAAAATAAAAGTGTTCATTCTATACATATAAACATTGTCAGAAACGACTTTCACACAACAATGTTAATGTGACTTTGTTTGTTGGATGCAGAAAACATGTCTATTGTTTGTGAAATATTAAAAGTATGAACTCTTACCATATATATAGTATAATACTCATAATTCCTAGGATCAGAACCTTCTGGAAACTGAGGACATATAACATCAATAATATCTCCCATATTTACATTTATAACATGATCTGTATTGCTTGTAGCAAATCTGAAATATAGAAAAATAAGATAATCATAAGATAAATGTCAAGAACAATACTTTTCTTAATTCAAATTAAAAGTCTACAGGACCAATACCGATTCAAAATTGGCTTTGACCCAATTTTCAAGGAAAAAGGTGTGGCAGTTTTGACTTCTCCTTCATATGTCAAGATGCTTCCATTATTTGTTACATTTCTAGACCACTTACTGCGAGAATGTTACACAGAGACAACAATGGTAGCTATTAATAGTTGACAAGAAAAGAAAATTGAATGTAGTGAATGCTGAGAAACAATACAAAACAATGTGAAAGCAAAGCTAAATATATTGACCACTGAATCTTGTTCATATTTAAGAATATCAGTTGACTTTTGTGACTTTCTAGTGGCCAAATCTAGATGAGCTTAGATATTGGAAGTGATCATAAACAAGGCTGAGTTTATCATGTAAATGTAAATTGTTAGTATGATAAACATTTGGGTTAAACAACCGACAGGGTTACCAATATGTATTGACTGCCATTTTCAATCCCAACAGAACAATTGTTCCTTATAAGGGCAAAAACAATATTTGTTTACCGTAGTGGTGGCAGTTTGTAAACAACAATTTGTCTTTTTCACTTCAAATTTTATTTGCATCAAGGTATAATATTTGAAGCAGATTATCAAATAAAACATATAGTTGAGTTTACATGTTGTTGGTGTAAGCCATCAATAATATAAAACTAGTGAAATATTTTATGAAAAAATTATTTATTTTTATTACATGTTTAACGAATAGAAATAGACTAAGATTCTCTGAAAAAGACTTTAGATGTAAATATTTATTTTCTGTGCAGGAGATTTGATTGATACATTTTGAGGCTTTGTCCTCTTAATTTCATAAAAAATATTTGTAAATGTATTTCGCAATATTTAAAATCATATTTCTTCACAATAAATGCTTTTATTGATAAGCAAGAAATTTGCATCATTTCGAATTTGAAAGAAAAGTTTCTCGAAAAGCTTGCCCTAGGTCAACATCTTGCCAATCACCTTGTCTCTAATCTATGTATAGTGTTTACATTTCCCTCCTTTCCAAGAGTTGTAGTATGGTTAATTCCCTGCAGGCATCAGCAAACAACATCATTTCAATACATTATTATTACAGACAAAAATAACTTAACAAGATAGAATGGACGCAAGCTTATAATTTTGTTCCATATGATTTTTCATCTATAACATTTTGTTTGTTATTACATATTATCCATATGTCCTTCTAAAATTTATTACAAACCTAAAAAACTACAATCTTTTGGTCATTAACTTGTTCACTATATCTAAGACTGAACCCCTAATTCAACCATGGGGATATTTACTCTGTTTCTATACGATTAAATTTTCTTGATATAAGTATTGCTATATTAATTATTCATAAATAATCCAACTACATCAAGTCAGTGATGGTGAAAACTTCAGTCTGTATGCTTGACTAATCATATTGATAGTATCAAAGTTGCCATGGTAACTATACATTGAAGAATATATTCTTCTTCAATATTAGTTAATCAGTAGATTTTGCAGATAACGGCATATGTTTTTCATTTCTCATTCTTCAACATATTAGACTACTGCTGTTTCCGTGACTACTATAATCTTACTTGTCTTAGATTATACTCTCTAATCTAATATCACAAAGTTATTTTAGCTAAGTTAGAGAACTTCATAATGAAGATTGAATAAAAGCCATTTTTTTAGAGAGTGTAAAAGTGGAATAAAAAGAGAATACTGTCAGGAAGACACATCCCAAGACATTAGTCCATTATCAGGCTGAGTGGAGAATGGAAATAGCCGTGAGGTTGGAAGTACAAGTCCTATTCTAACAACCAAATTTATCACTCAATACAGCACAAACTATTGATTTTTAGTTTGACATTGGATTAGACGTGAATTATTTGCCCCTGAAGCTTTTCAATAACACTGACATACGAAATGAAAGCCTTATTAATTCTTTGACACTGTAACATTTCTTGCAAGCTTCCAGACTTTTTTTCCAATTTGTTCTGATTTAGTTTGACAGAAAATGAAATCTTACTTTCCACCTCTAATGTAAATTTTCAAAAGGATCTGTACATCTAATGGAAGAAGAATATAAGGCGTAATTACATCGAGAACTGATTTTTATTGCATCAAGCATATTTCAATATTCAGACATTTCCACCTCATGATATTTATCTTCTCACAAGAAAATTTCTTAGTATTAAGATTTTTGTATTAGTAGTTATAGGTGGGTAAATCGGAAACTGTTTCTTCTTTGTAGGTAGATGTAATGAAAATTGACAACCACTAGCTAATCTTATAAACTAAATTCTTCATCTGGTATCTTCTTATTAGAGTAAATTATAGACAAAAGCCAAGACTTGTAGAAATCTGACATGATGTGATTTAAATTGCAGGCAATCTGTTTTCAAGTTGAAATGGTTTGGGATGAGATTTGACAAATGGCTACATTGATGAGTGAATCTCTTCAATTCACTCTCATTATTTGGTGAATAAAATTGTGCCATAACTTAAGAAGCCAGGAAAGACTTGTGTAAAAGTATTAGAAAATTTAAGGCTCATTTATTGCTATCTAAATGACTCATCTTTTATCAAACTATTTATTCCAACCACAGCTTTCTGACCTTTGACATCCCTGCAGACAGTCAAATGTACAGTTTCAACACTGTTTTCATGTATGTTTTCTTTTATCATCTTATTTTATTATACACTTTAGAGATCTTCTGGGATTCCAGCAATATGGTAGTCTGGAATTCTTATTCTTAATGCCATATAAATTCCTGATAATTGCATGAGGGAGATATTACAGTGTCTTACTTACATCTGTGTAATAATGTCCATTATAGAATTGGCTAGATAAAGTAGCAAGGTTGTATTAAGTCTCCCAACAGGTTAATACAGAAACCATCACTAACTGATATTAAATATGGCTGTCTCTGGAAGGTGTCAGGAAACATCCCTTGGTACAAATTTCACAATCTATCTTAAATCATTCGCCATGTTGAATATATTATCAAACTTGAAATATTTCAACAATAAAAAAAATGAAAGTTGAAAGACTGACATGACATCTATGTAGCAGAATAAAACCGAATATACTAGTATCTACAACTCTATACATCTGTTACTAGCATGTCTCAGCATAGAGAAAACAAATTGCTTCCACCTGACCAACTTTATTGTAACCATGTAAACAGCTGAGATAAGGTGACTTAGTCAAAGCAATTGTAACAATCGATGAATTATTGATTCCATCAAAAACCTGCAACAGAATCAGAATACATGAGTTTGATGTTTACTTAATTTAACTGATACACTTGTCAGAGAAATCTGTCTTGTTGAAAACCTGAACAAATTCAATCTGTATTTGAAGGCACCACATTTATCCTTGTCAACCATCAGGTGCTGATTTTTTTTAAGTGAATCCACAAAATGTAATACATGTATCATGCAGTTTATGTTATAAATTTAGATAAAATCATATCACATATTATAAAATATCATTATAAACAGTCAAGTCATAACATTATATATTGTTTAAACTTTGTACAGTTTGTGCAGATTGTATATGTATTGTGTTGTTTAATATTTGCAAGTTAACATTATTATATTCACATGTACACTGTAAAAGATTTGCTAGAGACGTAAAGGGTAGAAAATCACATTTTTGTTTAGAAGTTTTCACTTTCAGGTTTTACAGAGCTGCAAATATGTCCTCATTAGTTTTTAGGTTTGTAGAGGAAATATTGCACAGAGGTTCAACATAAATACATGTAATACATGTCTTCCGATGTGGATGCTAAAAAAATAGCTTCTTCAGTTGTAGATTTACAATTAAAATATGGAATAAAATATGAAACAATATTTTCAATGTCCAACTAACATAACCTTTAATGCATGCCTACCTCCTAGAGTGAAAACCAATATTTTTAGCCCGCCAAAAATATAATCCTATAAATAACATGCTTTTATAAACATGAAGAAGAAAATTCCTTCAGCAAAAGTATAAAAAAAACATTATCATTCTGCTGGCAATCATTGACCAAATAGAACTCATGAGATATGACATTTGCTTTCCTTAATTGAAACATTGGCTAGCATGTAACTAATAAATGCCATATTACTACTATTAGACCAACATGACTGACAGTATGTTTAAATGACCATTGGTTACTCAAGTCAAATAAATTTAATTAATAAGACATTAATGGACTTCTTACTTCAAATGATCATTGAAAAGAAAAAAAATTGAAAAAAAAGTAGCTAAGATACATTAGACTGTAGACTTTAAGCAAAATAGAAGACATTACAATTGTGGAATAAAACAAAGTAAAAGTTAAATGTTACAACTAAGAAGAAAATAATTCTCTACATGACAAACACACTATAACAGATTTAAGATTAATGAGCACCAAGGGAAATAAAGGTCCTGATGTAAATCCTGGTAGATTACCATGAGAATAGAATGATAGAAACTTCAAATGATGTAGTGCATTTAACATTAAGTTGTGTGATAGAAGTGAGCATTCAAATTTCAATGTGTATGTGAAACAAATTTATCCAACTTGGCAGTGCAGAAAGAGACTGTTGAATATAAATTACCAACAGATGATCATCATTATGAAATACATAAAATCTCTAGCTCTTACTTTGATTTCTCAAGAAATGGGGAACATTAAATAACTAATTGATACTAAGTTAGTAAGTTTCTGTAACAACTTGATATAACTATATAAAATACTAACACAATTCCATCCTCAGATGCTTAATATCTTACTATTGTATAATCCAAACTTGTTTCATATCTTTAAAAGTTTGTTTAGATGCTTCTAAATTCTAAAAACCACATGAAAATATCATTTATATTAAACACTGTTTATAACTGCTTAAGCAGCTATATAATATATGACTTAGCTTGTTGATGAAAGGCAAGTGCTAGTTTAGTATAAGTCAGGTATAAGAAAATATCATTGTTTCACCATTACTGATGAAAACTGAAAGATTCAGAGAGAAATAAATTGCTTCTAGATTACAAGTTAATTCAAGGTTGTATGGTACAACACCTTATCCAGAACCAAATAATTGATTTAAAGCCAGCTAAGTCATATGATGTATAAAGATAAAATATACAGAATTAAGCATTCGTTTGCTACATTTTGGAAAACTGATATTGCTTTTAGTATAGAAAACCAACTATACTTTTGAAAAACACTTATTTTAAACACATCAGTATAGAAGAAGGCAAAAACATGAAATCATTGAGTCATATCTTATTACATTCGCTTTCATTTGTCACATTTCCAGTCTTTACTGGAAAACTAAACATGAATATTTTATCAGCCCTAGAATTTCTAGGACATTTGGTTTAATAGCCATGGTAGATGCTAGCCATATGACATTTAATACTTACTACTAGAACTAGTTTCCTGTTGAAATATAAAATATTTACATCATTATATTCCTACTTGACTGAAATACTTAGACATTGCTACTGGGTAACAGGAAGTCTGTATACATTAACAACAGTTTATTTTCACATTCTTATATCAGCTCAAGTTTCACACTATGTCAAATAATCATTTCTATCCTGAATTTGAGACAGTTGAGCAAGTTAAAATGTTTTAGTTATTTGATGACTATCTTAATTTGTTTGTAATGATAGTGGTGTCTAGAAAATACCTCCTTATTTTCATTTTCACCTGGTATTATGATCCTGGCAATTCTGAGTGAGACAGCAATATCTTTTGAAATGAAGAAGTGGTTGAAGAAGAAGTATTAAATGAAGATAAGGTTTACTTATTAATGGAGGATCTAAAGCTCAGGCTATGTTGACAAGATAATATATTAACCATGACATGAATTAACAGGTTTAAGAATTATATAACTATGTTTGTGCAATATCAACGAGCTAGATATCAAATTTCTATATTAAATGCTGGATACTAGGGGTTCAGGGAATGAACAAACTCATTTACAAAAGCCCCAGGCACCTAAAGAATATTCTACATGTGTACAAGTCTCCTAAACAGGCTTTATTTGTCATAACTGCCCACTTAACCATAGGTCTCTAATTACCTTTTAGTCCCTTGAGGCAAACAATCCACTACATGCTTGACCATTAGTCACCTTGTCTAAAGTCAATAGTGGACCATCATTAAAACTCCAACATTATTAAGTTCAAAAGTGGGTTGACCTAGGGTGAGGTAATCAAAGAGTTAAAATTCCTACAGGTAGAAAGATGTGTATTGTGTATTAAGGTGACGATTAGAGACTACCTTCATGACCAATCGTCTAAATTAGAGGACTTTAAACTTCAACCTTTGTCAACAAAGAAACGACACGCCAACAAAACAAAGAAACTAGTTTCTCAATTATCTTTAGAAATACTCCTCTTGTTTCCATTCTGACTACTCATGCAGTCGCATTGAATACCAATTAAAATGGCTTGATGAACAATGACATGCAACCTAAAATCAGAGTAAATTGAAGATTTTGTATCATGTGAACAGTGTATAATCTAAAAGAAAGTGATGACTTTGCTATAGAAATTCCATCTACTATTCTTAATATTATAGGTCATATTCTCTAAATTTTTCTTTATATTCTCAAATATTCTTCATATCTCACTAGTTACAAATATCTTACACATTTCTCAAGAAAGTCGATTTCTTACTTGATTTATGAATATATATACCCACCTGTTATCTGAGGAGACATGTTTTCACATGTGAATAAATAAAACACTGAGTTTGACCAGTACAGTACATATGTAGTGGACATATAATATATGATTAATTGACAAATCATGTCTTCATTCCCACTTCATAAATCTCTAATATTTGCAAGATTAATGTTTTTATGAATATGTGAAATGAATTTATAATCCACCACAAGTGTCAATGTGAAGAAAAGAGTTACTTGTTATGCTAATCTGTGTATTTAATGTGTAGAGGTGAAGTGTTTTTATATCATGCTATAATAGCATATTCTTATCTCAAAGTTCAGAAATCATTGAATGTTTCACTGAATGTAAGGGGGGTGTTAGTCTTTTACTGCTTCTGATTATATAAAGACTAAAATTGAGTTTGTAATTCATTTTTATCTTTAGTTCACAAAGAAAGCTACAGACAAAGCTATGTTTACTCAGAAATAAATTTGAGTGACCTGTCACTATTATAAGCTATAAACTTTCCATCATAAAATGACAGCTGTGATTCAAACTTCAGGAAGTTGCATCTACTAGAAATTCAGGCTTTTATGACATACTGTTACATTTTGATAGATAGACCTACGTTAAGCATGATCTTATGAGTTATGTTAGATGAAAAGGAGGAAATTATTCTAGCAGGCAACTTTATTCTTGGCAGGCATGCTTATCTTATATATACTGTTAAGGGGAGTTCTCACTATAAATAAATAACTTGTATGATACTGGCAAAACTGTTGAGGTTAACATAATTGAAATTATCAAAATCACCATGGAAAATAAACAAACTACCAATCTTTATTTAGACACACTATTTTTGTAAGGCTGACATTTGAAATGTTAAAGCAAATGATAACGGCTATCTACAGACTTGTCTTCTTTTGGCTCAGTTGACTCTTTAACATCTGTACAATAAACTACACCACAATAAATCTTCAAGAGGAACACATGTTCATTACTACCAGTTTCATTGAGATAGCCAAGTTTCTTTCACCACAAAACTTCTCTTCAATTTATCTTTATTTTTATTAATCTTTCATTTTCAAACCACCCACACACATATCAGTCTCGACCAATTACATATATCTCATATTAAATATCATTTTAAGTTCAAAGTTAGTATAATATTATCTCA